AACAGCCAGGCCTCCAGTGGGGCCCCTGTTGAGGCCATGACAGCCGCAGCAGCAGCAGCAGCAGGTGCTGCTGCTGCTGCTGGAACAGCAGCAGGAGCAGCAGGAAAAGCAGCACAAGCTGCTGGAACAGCAGCAAACTCTGCTGTTAAGGTAAAATCTGTCAACACATTTGCTGCTTGAGCCGCGTTCGCTGCTGCCGCTACCGCTGCTGCTGCTGCTGCTGCTGCTGCTGCTCGTTGGCTGCCGCAGCAAACAGCCAAGGCCTCCAGATCTCTGGGATCGACAACTCCCGCTCATGTCTTGCTGCTTTCTTTTTGGAAATATTAGGGTTTAGGGTTTAGGGCTTCTATTTGGCGCTGTTTCGGAGGCGCCATCCCGCAGCAGACCACCGCTGCTGCTGCTGCTGCTGCTGCTGCTGCTGCTGCAGCTGCAGCGGGGTGGCAGCCACGGGGTGTGAGAGCGAGCAGTAAGCCCATGCTGCCTTCAGCACTACGTGCTCTGCTGCTGCTGCAGCGGCGGCTGCTGCCGCCCCTGCTGCTGCTGCTGCTGCTGCTGCTGACTTCTTGCTGCCTACAGCCCTCCGCTGCTGCTCCCTTTGCTGCCCGCTGCAGCCCCGGGGGGGCCCCTCAGTCCCCTCTGTGCGGCCCTGGGGGCCCCCAACTGGGCTTTCTGCTTCCTATTGGGGCTGACTGCATGCCCCGGGCAGCAGCAGCAGCAACACCAGCAGCAGCAGCAGCAGCAGCAGCAAAGCCACCGGCTGAACAAGAGGCTCAGCCTGACAACTCCGACGCAGAGGGTCAACCCGAGGAGCTTCTTGGGCAGCAGCAAGAGCTACAGTCGAAGCCTCCGCCGCAGCAGCAGCAGCAAGCGCCGCAGCAGCAGCAGCTAGCGCCACCGCAGCAGCAGCAGCAGCAGCAACTGCCGCTGCAGCAGCCGCCGTTTGAGCAGCAAACTAGGTGGGGTGAGTGGAGCAGCAGCAGCAGATGGCGGCGGCCCTGGAGGCGACGACGGCCGTGGGCTCTACAGCCACGCCCTCAGCAGCAGCAGCAGCAGCAGCAGCAGCAGCAGCAGCAGCAGCTCGCTGATGCCACGGCGCCGGCCTTGTGGAGAAACCCCAGGTGGCAGAGAAGAACAGCAGCAGCAGCAGGGGGAGGTGCAGCAGCAGCAGCAGGAAGTTATCTGCGGCCACAAGGACTGCCTCCCCCCATGTTTGAGCAGCAGCAGCAGCAGTGGCTCTCCCCGCTGCCGCCAGCAGCAGCAGCAGCAGCAGCAGCAGCAGCAGGCGAGAGCTGGGACCTTCCGCGCGAGGTCGACGTGGGGCTGCTGCAGCAGCAAGACCTGCTGCTGCAGCAGCAAATGGAAGCTGTGCTGCCGCTTTCTCTAAGTCCTGAGGCCCTCAGCGATATTGTTGAAGGCAGCAGGAGGCAGCATTTGCTGCTGCTGCTGCGGCACGAGGGGCCGCCCCCGCTGCGGGTATCGCTAGCTGCTGCTGCTGCTGCTGCTGCTGCTGCAGGCGCGGCGCCCGACGCAGCAGCGGCTGCTGCTGCTGCTGAGGAAGACGCAGCAGCAGCAGCAGCAGCAGGAAACCCCGCAGGCACTTGGTGGTTCCCGCTTGCTGCTTCTTACACTGCAGCAATGGAGCGCCTGCAGGCAGACGGCAGCCAGCAGCAGCAGCAGCAGCAGCAGCAGCAGTTGCTGCTCGAAAATAACATGCTGCTGCTGCAGCAGGAGGCAGCACAGAGGCGCCGCAGAAGAGAAATCCTCAACGAAGCCCTAGCTAGACACGGCCTTGAAATACAGTGCGGCTTAGGGTTTAGGGTTTAGGGTTTAGGGTTTAGGGTTTAGGGTTTAGGGTTTGGAGGGGCCACCCGATTCGCGGTGCTGCTGCTTTCTGTACGGGCTGCTCGTTTGCTGCTGCTGCTGCTGCGGGTGCGCCTGAGCCTGCTGCGTACTTCGTTGCTTCGGGCCCGCTGCTGCTGCCGCTCATCTGCTGCTGCTGCTGCTTCTGCTGCTGCTGCTGCTGCTGCTGCTGCAGCCCTGCCAGCTGGCTGTGCCGCTCTTTTGTCTACCTGCGGCGGACGCCAATTAAGAGTCTCATCTTCGCGCTGTGGAGAGACAGAGTCTTAGACCAGCTCTACGAGCCCATGCAGCAGCAGCAGCAGCAGCAGCAGCAGCAGCAGCAGCAAAGTGGCAGGGGAATTGCTGCGCTCGAAGAGGACTGGCAGAAGCACATTTTGTGGACAACAGGGATAGATCTCCTGGCTCACCCAGTAAGCCCCGTTTGCTGCTGCTGCCTCTGCCTTTGCTGCTCCTGCCGCTGCTGCTGTTGCCGCTGCTGCTGCTGCTGCTGCTGCTGCTGCAGCAAAGACAGCCTGCGGTGCTTGGCTTGCTGCAGCACCTGGAAAAGGCCTTGCTGCTGCGGAAGGAAGCTTTTGTGCAGCGGAGGTATATGGCCGTAGTGCGGCGGCACCCGGGCTCGAGGTTTAGGTACATTCCCCCGCATATCGGCAGCAGCAGCAGCAGCAGCAGCAGCAGCAGCTACAGCAGGGTGATTCCTCAGCAGCTGCCACCTAGGCCGCGCAGACAGCCCCGCTGGGCTCCCGGGAACCGGCGAGGAGTGCAGCAAGGAGATCAGCAGCAGCCGCTGCAGCAGCAGCAGCCGCTGCAGCAGCAGCAGCAGCCGCTGCAGCAGCAGCAGGACTTGCAGCAGCACCTGCCAGTGGACGGTGCCGACGGCGCGGAGCTCGCTGAAGAGGGAATAGCTGCTGCGGCAACAGAAGAAACAGCAGCAGCAGCTGCTGCTGCAGCAGCAGCAGCAGAGGAGGGCAAGACGCAAGGAAAGGTCCGGCCATCTCGCCGTGGGAGGCGTAGCGCGCAGCAGGAGACAGCAGCAGCAGCAGCAGCAGCAGCAACAGCAGCAACGATGAAACTGCCACTGGAGGAGGCCGTGTCTACTGAAGACCCAGATGCTACGGGCAGCAGCAGCGACAGCAGCAGCAGCGACAGCAGCAGCAGCGACAGCAGCAGCAGCGACAGCAGCAGCAGCGACAGCAGCAACAGCGACCTCATAGGGCTGCCAGTTAGCAGCGCAGATGCTACGGGCCGCAGCGACGACAGCAGCAGCGACAGCAGCGACAGCAGCAGCAGCGACAGCAGCAGCAACGACAGCAGCAGCAGCGACAGCAGCAGCAGCGACTCCGTGGAGCTGCCAGTTAGCAGCACAGATGAGGAGTTGCTGCCTGCTGCTGCTGAAGGCGCAGAGCAAGGGGAGGAGCTGCAGCAGCAGTAGCTGCTGCTGCAGAAGCAGCTGTTGCAGCAGCAGCTACTGCTGCTGCAACTGCTGCTTCTGCAACTGCTGCAGCAGCTGGCTTCTGCTGCAACTTGCGAGCAACCGACATCTTTCCGTTTGTTTATAATTAGATCTAAAACTAACTTCATTCATCTTGTCTGTTGTCCTTTTGCTGCTGGACCCCTCGCGCTGCAGGCCCTACAGGCTGCCTACTGCTGCTGCTGTTGCTGTTGCTGCACTTGCTGCTGCTGCGTTGCTGCTGATGAGGATACTGCAGCAGCAATACGGCTGCGGGGTGTGAGGACACTACTTCATATATAGTGCCAGCTGCAGCAGCAACTGACGGTTTGCCAGCAGCAACAGCAGCAGACAAAACGGCACCAACCCTAGCAGCAGCAGCAGCAGCAGCAGCAACCGCAACACCAGCAGCAGCAGCAACCCAGCAGCAACTGTAGGGGCAGCAGCAAAAACAGCAACGGCCACTTGCCTAGACTTGAAGTCCCCTCGTAGAAATAAGGGGCTGCAGCAAACGCCATAAAACACTAGCTAGCACCAGACAATGCAGCAGCAGCAGCAGCATCAGCTGCTGCTGCTGCTGTTTCTGCTGCTGTTGCTGGCTCTCCTGCTGCCCCACTAGGGGCTACCGGACTTCCAGCGGCGCCAGGCGCTGCAGCATCTGCTGCACGTGCTTCTGTTGCCGGTGCAGCAACAGCAGCAGCAGCAGCAGCAGCCGGCGCTGCGTCCGCGGCAGCAGCAGCAGGTGCTGCTGATTCTGCTGCCTCTGATGCGGATGCTGTCGAGCTGTCTGCGGCAGCTGTGCCTGCAGCTGAAAGCGCTTCTGCTGCAGCAGCAGCAGAAGCTCGACGCTTAGCAGCAGCAGCAGCTGCGTCTGTATTTGCAGCTGCTGTAGGCTTCGGTGGGGCATCTCCCTGGCGCTCAGCAGCAGCAGCAGCAGCAGCAGCAGCAGGAGCAGCAGCTGCGACAGTCCTGTCTTCCGTTGGAGCATTCCTCACCTCTTGCTGCTGCTGTGAATTGTTGGAAGTAGCAGCAGCAGCGGCAGTGCCATGGTCCGCTGCTGCAGCAGCAGCAGCAGCAGCACGCATTTCGGGGATGCGCAGCGCCAGCTGTATCGCTAAAAAGGCCCATGCTGCAAGCAGCAGCAGCCCCAGCAGCAGCTGAGCCCAAAAGCGCCTTTGTTCCTCTCGCTGCAGCAGACACAGCAGCAGCAGCAGCAGCAGCAGCAGCAGCAGTTCCTTGTAAAGCGCGGCAAAAGGCCCGGGAACAGCTGGCTCTTCAGCAGCAATGGCAGGCAGCGCCACCTCGTGCTGCTGCAGAGTCAGCCGCAGCAACCAGCGCAGCAGCAGCAACAGCAGCAGCAGCAGCAACAGCAGCAGCAGCAACAAGGAGAGCAGCAGCAGCAGCAACTTGAACTAACCGCAAGGTAGAGCGAAAGGACAATCCCTATAGGGTGGAGGAGCGAGGCTGCGCGGGCGTCAGCATCCTGCTGCTGCTGCAGCGCGTCGTCTGCCACGGCTGCAGCGCTGCCGCTGCTGCTGCTGCTGCTGCTGCTGCTGCTGGGGGGCAGCAGCCCCCAAAGACGCAGCAGCAAATCCAAAGGCCACAACAAACAGCTGCGACAAAAACCCCACAAACCCAAAACGCGGCTGCCGGGCGGCAGCGCAGCATCGCTCAGCAGCTGCCAATACACCTGAGCAGCAAACGCCCGCAGCACACCCCACAAAACGCATGCATGCACGCATGCATGCATGCATGCATGCATGCATGTATGCATGCATGCATGCAGGTAAGCAAACAAATGCATGCCCGCATGCATGCATACATGCATGCAAACAAACAAGCATGCACGCAGGCCAGCAGCAGCAGAAGTAACAGCACCAGCAGCAGCAGAAGTAACAGCAGCAGCAGCACCAACAGGAGCCGCACTAATAGCAGCAGCAGCAGTAGCAGTAATAGCAGCAGCAGCAACGGCAGCAGCAGCAGCAGCAACAGCAGCAGCAACGGCAGCAGCAGCAGCAGCAGCAAAACCACCTTTATGGCTTCTTCTCTTTGGGGGGGCCCCCCAATCCCATCTTCTTTGAGCTTCGCCAGCGCGTAGAGGCCCCTGCCATCTCCTGTTGCTGCTGCTCTTTCTGCCCAGTAGCGGCTGAGAGCAGCAGCAGTTTCTGCTGCTTCCCGCAGCGCCTGCTGCTCTTGCTGCTGCTGCTGATGCTGCTGCAGCTGCTGCTGCTCCGGCTGCTGCTGCTCCGGCTGCGCCTCCTCCGTCGCTGAAGGGCCTGACACCGCTCCTGCTGCAGTTTCTGCTGCTGGTGCCGCTTTCGCTGCTGCTGCTGCTGCTGCTGCAGCCTTGATTGCAGCAGCAGATTCTGCTGCTGCAGCAGCGTACATCTCCGCCAGGCTGACCATGGAGGCGGCGTCGCCCTGAGACACAAAAGCAGCAGCAGCAGCAGCAGCAGCAGCAGCAGAAAACAACCTGGTCTCCTGAATGGCAACAAAGCTGCTGCTGCTCTATTTAGTGCTTCGTGTCTCATTTATCACATCTGTCTTTTCCTGCTGCTGCGTTTGCTGCTTCCTGCTGCTTGCTGCTGCCCCTTGCTGCTGCCTGCTGCTTCCTGCTGCCTCTGTGACTTTTATTTCTGTCACTTTTCTGTCTTTTTTGTCTCCTTTTGCTTCTTTTTGTTTCTACTATTTCCTTCTCATTATCTCTTTGCTGCTGCTTGTTTATATTTGTCGCTTTTATCTTTTTTGTCTTTTATCTTTCTATCTTTTGCTGCTGCTACCTGCAGCGCAGCTCTTCTGTAAGCAGCAAAACGGCAGGCCGTTGCTGCTGGGGCTTGTGGGGTTTCGAGGGCTTTAGGAGACACGAGCCAGCAGCGGAGGAATTCGGAGACTCGGAGGTGCTGCAGCTGCTGCCGCGCAGCAACTGCAGCAGCGCGAGCAGCAGCAGCAGCAGCAGCAGCAGCAGCAGCGGGCGGCGCGCACGCGCGCTCGTCGTCCAGCAGCAGCTGTACAGACACCCCAGGGTCTCCTCGTGCATGCAGCTGCTGCACTCCTGCTCGGGAAAGTGGAGACACCCGAGTCTGCAGCAGGCAGTCTGCTCCTGCTGCTGCTACGTGGGCCTCCACTGCTGCTGCTGCTGCTGCTGCTGCTGCTGCTTCGCCCTCCGCAGGCAGGGCCACTGACGGGTCTGCGTAACGCGCCAGCAGCAGGCTGCGGGCACCCTCTTCTGCATCTGCTGCTGCTGCTGCAGCAGCAGCAGCAGCAGCTGATGCTGCTGCTGCGCCGTCCTCCTCTGCATTCTGCTGCTGCGGCTGCTGCTGCTGCTGCGACACGGCCCCTTCGGCGGGAAGCTGCTGCTGCTGCTGGTGCTGCGGCTGCGCATCCGAGCCGCCGGAGGCTTCCTCTGCTGCTGTTTCCGTTGCTGTTGCTGCTGCTGTGCTGTTGGCGCTTGGAGCCGCATCTGCTGCTGCTGCAGCAGAGGCAGCAGCAGCAACAGCAAGGTCCGCCTGGAGCAGCGAGTCCATGAGCAGCTGCACCGCCTGCTGCCGCTGCTGGTGCTGCTGCGCTGCAGACTCCCACAGTGCAGCAGCAGTTACGTGAGCAGCTAAATGGCCAGTTTCCGACAGCAGCAGCAGCAGCAGCAAAGCCCCAGACACGTCGCCCTGCCGGTGCGCATGCAGCGACAAGGCCTGCAGCAAATTGACCCGCCGGTGCAGAAACGCCACCTTTTCCAGCACCTGCGCACAACACAAACCCCAAACCCTAAACCCTAAACCCTAAACCCTAAACCCTAAACCCTAAATCCCGGAGTGTAGGCCCTAAAGTGCGGACGCTCCGCCCTAAAGTCTCAAATCTGGGCCCTAAGCTCAATCCTCCCAGCTGCAAGACGTAAACCGTAAACCGTAAACCCTAAACCCTAAACCCTAAACCCTAGACCGCAGCAGCGGGGCGCAGACCTTCAAAGCAATGCTGCAGCGCTGCTTGGAGCTCTTGTGGTGGGGAGAAGCCCCCTGCAGCAGCAGCAAACCGGAGCTGTAAGCTGCTTCTGGATGGCCAGCAAGTGCAGCTTTTGAAAAGTATGTGAGAGCTTCCGTCATGTTGCCTGCTGCCAGCAGCTGGCCCCTTCCTGCTGCTGCTGCTGCTGCTGCTGCGGACGACCCGGACACGCCGCCCGCCGGCTCTGCTGCTGCTGCTGCTGCTGCTGCTGCTGCTGATGTGGGACCCAGAGCAGCAAGGTGTGCTGCAGCGTACAGCACCTGCGCGTTGCTGTCGCCCAAGTCTGCTGCTGCGCGCAGGGCTTCCCCTGCAGCAGCAGCAGCAGCAGCAGCAACAGCAGCAGCACAATTTGAAAGACAGAAAGGGAGACAGCAGCGACCAGTCGAGATCAGAAATTCGCCAAGGGAGGACACACAGAGAGCTTAGCAGCAGCAGCAGCAGCAGCAGCAGCAGCAGCAGCAAGCAGCAAGACACGCGGCACACTAAAGAAGGATATATGAAAAAAAGACCAAAAAAAGCGGAAAAGAGGCAAACAAAAGCGCAAAAAGGAAACAAAAAAGAGAAGACCAAAAGAGCAAAAGAAAAAGAAAAATTAGAAAAGAAAAAAGAAAAAAAAGAAAAAAGAAAAGAAAAAAAAGACACCTGCTAAAGTTGCATTTGTTTCCTGCAACAGCCCATAACGCCAGGCCAAAAAACGCGCCGTGTGGGGCGCGGGGCCAGAGCCCTCAGCAATGACCTGCAGCAGCAAAGCGCAGCAGCAGCAGCAGCAGACAGCAGCTCTCCAGCAGCAGCAGCTGCTGCTGCAGCAGCAGAGACGGTGGCGGCCGCGCCAGCAGCGGCAGCAGCGGCAGCAGCGCGTGGACTCTCTTGCTGCTCCGGCATAACTACTTATGTCTCCTTCTACTTTACTTTCTCTTCTTGAGCTCCCTGCTGCTGCTGCTGCTGCTGCTGCTGCTGCTGCCTCTGAGCTGCCTTGCCTGCTCTAGAAGAGCCTCCGCTGGGTGCTGCTCCTTTTCTTTCTTTTGCTGCTCCTCCTCCCGCAGGCCCCAGCTAGAAAGAAATCCGTTTAGCAGCCCCAGCAGCCCCCCCCCTGCGTTTGCTGCTGCTGCTGCTCCTCCTGCTGCTGCTGCTCCTCCTGCTGCTCCTCCTGCTGCTGCTCCTGCTGCTGCGCCTGTTGCTGCTGCGGATCCAGCGCCTGGGTCAGCACCGGCGCCCACAGCACCAGGGCCAGCAGCAGCAGCTGCTTCATTAGCAGCAACCGCCGCAGGTCCTGCTGCTGCTGCCGCTGGAGCTCTTGCTGCTCCCGCAGAAGCTCCGGCTGCTGCTCCTGCTTGGGGCTGCTGCTGGGCTGCGCCTGCAGCAGCAGCTGCTGCTGCTGCTGTTGGCTGCCCCTCCAGCAGCAAATGAGCTGCTGCTAAGGCAGCATTCGCATCTCCTCTTTCTGCTGCTTGCCGCAGCAGGTCCAAAGCCCGGTGTCGGTCCCTTGGAATCCCAGCTGCAGCAGCAGCAGCAGCAGCAGCAGCAGGAAGCATTCATACGAGGTCCCGATCTTCTCCCGACACCAACATCAACAGCAGCACCGAAGGCACCAGCAGCAGTTCAGAGCTCCATAGCAGCAGCAGCAGCAGCAGCAGCAAAGCCAGCAGCAACAGCAACGAGACCACAGCGACAGCAGCAAACGGACATCAACCCGCAGCCGCCCCCCGGGCACCGACCGAACCAGCTGCTGCCCCAGCAGCAGCCCCAGCAGCAGCAGCACCAGCAGCAACAGCACTCTCAGCAGCAGCAGCCGCGGCAGCTCCAGCAGCCCCAGCAACAGCCCCAAGAGCAACCGCAGCAGCAGCAGCTCCAGCAGTAGCCCCAGCAGCAGCAGCAGCAGTAGCCCCAGCAGCAGCAGCAGCAGCAGCAGCAGCAGCAGACCCTCTGCATTCCCGTGAAGGTAGAGATCAGCAAGCGCCGCAAGCCCCTCAGGCTCCCCATCTTCAGCAACTGCATGCACGAGTGCAGCATAGTCTCTGCTGCTGTGCTGCAGGGGGCCCTGCTGGGGGGCCCCATAGGCCACAGAGTCGGGAGCAGCAAGCTGCTGCAGCAGCTCTTCCAAAGTTTGCTGCTGCTGATACGCCTTGGGAGCCCTGCTGCTGCTGCTCGATGGCGGGGCGAAAGCTGCTGCTTCCCCGGGCCCCCGCAGGAAGAAGGAAGCAGGCACGCGCGTCAGGTGCACGTGCTCCTGTTCCTGCTGCAGCTGCTGCTGCTGCAGCGCTGCTGCTGCTGCTGGCAGCAAGTGCCGCAGAGACGCGCTGCAGTCGCCTGCATCTTCGCTCCCTGCAGCAGCAGCAAAAGCGGCACCGACACAGCAAAAGCAAGTGCGAGGCAGCAGGGCTGCAACAGGGCGAACTATCGGTGCACCGCTCTTGCTGCTGCTGCTGCTGCTGCTAACCCTGCTGCGCCCAGAAGCTGCGCTGCGCGCTGCCAGCCCTCAGAGAAGAGTCGCTGCGCCCAGTCTTCAGGTAATATGCTGCAGCAAGAGAGCCCAGGGCCTCTCCTGCATGTGCTGCCAGCAAATACTTGACGACGGGAAAGTCCGACCTGTACATACACCCCACACCCCACACCCCTGTACATACACCCCACACCCCACACCCCACACCTTCACGCCGGCCCCAAGTGCTGCTGCTGCAGCGGCAGCTCTGTTTCGTC